TCAAAAATAGTACCATTATCTAGAAGGTACTTTTAATCTAATTATTATTTATACATACTACAAGAATTTTGAATATTTTATGTCAGCCCATGTTTTGAATCATCACCAAGTCCATTAGAATATGTCTTTATGAAGATTTGATTTCAAGATTATTTATCAACTCAAAAAATAATAATATTTTTTAGACGCATATCCTAGACATTTTTATCTTGCACCAAAAGAAAAAGATACATCTTTTTATCAACAAAGAATGATTTTCTTGAATCCAAAGCATTTTTATCTTTAAGTAATAAATCAACATTGACTATTGATGTAATCTTTATCAAACAAATTCAATTAAGTATGTCTTTTGATCTTCTTATTTAAAATATCAAAAATCCTTCTTTTAAGTCTCATCATGCTTTCAAGTTCAAATTGAAGAATTATCTACTCTATTTTGAAGGACGCCTATATATTCCAAAACAAAAAACACATTTATGTGTTCTTTAAGCACGTCATAACTTTCTAGCAATTGCATATTTTAGATACAACAAGACTTTGGAGCTTATATCTAGAAATTTTTAGTGGCTGCAAATATACAAGGCAATAAAAGACTTTGTTCAGTTATATAATATTTATTCAAGGTCAAAAACTCCTCATCATTGATTCTATAGAATTTTCCAATGATTGACCATTTTAAAACAATCATGGTCTTTTATTTTTACAAATTTTATCACAAATCTTTTAGTTGTAAATTTGTATGATTTTATATTTGTGATAGTATATCATATTATCAAGATGGCATATTTTGTACCATATATAAAATCTATCATAGGTAAAAAATAAAAAATAAATAAAAATTAAAAATTAAAACTATATTTTTTTCTTGAAAATATCTATCGCTATCATGGATTATCCGAGGATATTATATCGGATAGGAGGACTCAATTTATATCAAGATTTTGAAAAATATTTTTTAACATTCTAAAGTTAGATATAAAGTTATCTTTGATCTTTCATCCTCAAATTGATGGATAGATAGAAAGTGTTAATCAAGTTTTGGAGTAGTATTTGAGGTGTACCATCAACTATTGATAAGATAATTTGATGACTCTTTTGCCATTGATAGAGTTTGCTTATAATAACATGATACACTCTTCTATTTATTAAATATTTTTTTCTAATTATGATTATCATCTAAGACTTAATACTTTTAATTTTTTAATAACTAATAATCCTACGGCAAAAGATTTGACAAATTATTTGTTAGAGCTACATGCAACAATGAAGGTGCAATTAAAAAAAGCTCAAGGATGATACATAAAAGTAACAACAAAGAATAATTTCTAGAATATAAAAAGTACTATCAAAAAAATTAATAATAATATAGACTTGAATACAGGTATCATGTGATTATCCATGCATTAAAGAAAGCTGTAGGCCAATAATCCTAAATTCCAAAAATTCTAACATCTATCAAAGAAACTTCACAATTAGGAGGCAGTTTGCTACAATCTATTGCTTAAGCTCCTTCTTCCTCTCCCTCTCCTCCTCCCTCCTACCTTTCTCTCTTCGTTCAATCTGACCACAATGTCAAATCTTCAATCATGAAATTCTAATAGGAAATTTCAAATTTTTCCAACAAATACAAAGTCTATCAACAAAAATCTAGAAAGGATAGAAATCATTGGTTATATCCATGTATATAATAGATCAAACTGCACAAGCAACAACAAAACAAAATAAATCAAAATTCCTCATAATAAGCATTGCATCTTATAATACAAATATTGTCGTATTACATGAAGTCTTGCTTGAGAATGCATTGGATACTTGGTTGTGGAAGATAAAAGGAATTTGTAATAAGTCCTAACCACTCTAATAAAATCTTATATAAATTTCTATAGAAGCTTAACAAATATAATCAAACATCAATTAAGTCTAATTATTATAATTTTATTTTATTTTTTGAAATAAATTATAAAAGAAATACAAAAAAATATTTAAAAAATTCTAAAGAAATCCAAACCAAATTCTAATCCTAATCAAATCCTAATCTTAATCAAAACCTAAATCCTAACTTAATCCTAATCCTAACCAAATTCAAATCAATTTTTTAAATCTCAAACAAATTTCTAATAACCTTATAATAGATTTTGAAATTCAATAATTAATGATTAAACCATTAACTTTAATTCAAATTTTGCATATCCTTTATTAATTAAGTTAACACTAAGTACAAAAAAAATTAAAAAAGATCAAAATTACCAAATAGATCATAATCTCAAAAATGTACTTAGGTATCGATCGGCCTCCTTCTCCGACCTTGATGCCAATCTCCTCAAGCCAATTACTCTTAATTAAACTATCACTTTCCTTCCAAACTTTACACACTTATTAGAAATCAAGCTGAATATCTTTGTAAAAAAATTTGTCTCAATCTAATTGGTGGATAGATATCTAAAAAAACCTCACTTGTCTTCAAAACCTTGAATTTTGAAACCATAATCCACAAAAACCTTTATGCTTTTCAATCTAACCATTCAATCAAATCCAAATTTACATGGCACATTAGGCACAATTACATCCACAAACCTAAAAAATTTCATATATAGATCTATTACCAAACTCTTGAAATTGCTCAAGAGGTCAACCCTATTTTATTTTCTAAAAACTAGAGTCACTGAAAACAACATCAACTTTGCAAAGCTCTTATAAAGTCATTATCTATCCAAACCTCTCAAAATTAATGTCTGTTGAAACCCTATCAAGTCTGCTCTCCAACCTCATTCTTTGATCAACCAAAGAACCCCCAGAATTGTTGTCGAGGCTTGGTTTTGTGCCTTGAAGTCTGATTTCGACCTTGGTTGGTACTCGGTCTTCTCCAAGTATCAATTTTTGTCCCTTTTGAGGTGAATTCTACTAAAACAAACTCCTCACTCTCTCTTACATATGCTTATATCTTTTATTTTTCTAATCTATCTTATTTTGCCTTATTTATGGTCCTACAAAGTAGGTAGAAGCTACTTTTTAAAAAAGGCAGCATTACTACTAAAAGTTTTACTACTCTCCTATCTTTTATTCATATTTTTCTACTTTATCTTTTAACTTGGCTCTTCTATAATAATAAGATCCATATTATTATCTTTCACCATATAATCGTGTTACAACATGACAATGCTTCCATGACTTCTACTCCCCTTTCAACTTTCAATGCTAAAATCTCTCAACCACATTCCACATATCTTAAGTTTGCAAATTTTTGAAGCATTATAACGAGGTTGCTCTATTTCCAACTCCAAATCACATGCACCATGTCCCACAAAGGTTATTAACAATAACAATAATGATGGCAATCCAAGTTGGTGTTGTAGTCCCAATTCCTAACTATCATATAATGTATGCATATAAAGTTTTGTATATGAGTATAATTTTGTATTTTTTTCTTCTAAGTTTCCATTAAAATATAGTTCAATTCACAACTAACATTAGCGATGCTTGAATGCCTCCAAAATTGTATGTTGTATATTTTATATCTAATATTTTTGTATTTATTGTGTATTTGTATGTCTTAAAGTACACTTGGTTTGACCAATGTTTTTTTCAAGCTCATTTAGCTTCTTTCTCATTTTTTGAATACGTTGAAAGGTTTTCATCCATATTTGGGTTTGTTTACATACAATCATATCTTTAACTAAGGCATGGATTTACTTGATATCTGAAATTAGTCAAAATATAAAATAAGTTTTTTTTTAAATTATTTTTAATTTTAAAATAGTATGTAAAATAAATTTTTGCCTTGCACAATGAATGATGAATTCAACATCCATTGTGTTACAAAAATTGAATTCAGAAATTGATTTCAGTGGTATCTATCATCATAAAAAATAATAATAAATGATAATGACTAACATTAATAAAATATATATATATATATATATATATGCTTGCATATAAAAATTCATTTTTATTAGCATTTACATTTTTAAACAGAACTATTATTATTTTTGGTCATGCTTAAATTTTATTACATTGTTGTGGGTAAATCCAATCATTTCATGATTTTTTTGTTATGTTTAATAAGAGATGAATTTTTTTATTTAATATATATATATATATATATATATATATATTAAATAAATAAAATAAACATTCAAATCAAATGCGTGCAATTTGTTTGCACATACAATCAAGATACTGCACAATTTGTCAATGTAACTGAATCACAAATAAATGTGATGAAATGATCTTTGATTTGAATATTTGAAATAAATCTAGATTTATTTGATGCATGTCAAAAAATAACAAAATCTTAGGATACACAAGGTTAATGCTCTATATTAATTAATCAGGTTTGAATGAATTTTTGGCTCAACTTGACCGAATTCTAAAAGCGTTTTTGGATTGCCTTCAAGAATGACTGAAGAATAGTAAGTTTGTTTAAGTAAAACAACGGTGAGTTAATTCAACCCTGAACCCACATCAAAAAAATTCTTCGATGAATCAACGTAAATAAAGTTCGTATTCAATGTGCTCAAGAGTATAACAAATTTGCTACAACTGGTATGCGTGGATACAGTGATAGGTATTGTTTAGCCAAATTTAGAGAGTTAATTCCCAAAGCAGTATGTTAAACCTGCATTGCCTACAAACGCTCCCATAGTAGATAAATAAACAAATAAATAAAGTTTTAAGTTGACTGGCATATAGATGCAAGCGTTGAATGATTCACTAAACAAACTTGATTTGAAACTTGGTATTTCAATCTAAATAACACTCAATACCGAAACAAACTATAGCAATTAAAAACAGTTGGATTTGGAATACTCGATACCATCAATCAACCTGAAAGCGTTGGACAAAAATAGCAAAGCCCTTCGACAGCAATGAAATACACACTTCTGGGACATTCACTGCAGGAATAGCTACGGTTCAAATTATAGTGTAGTTGCATATGATTGAAAACATTCTGATTACCAAATTAAGCATGCATCATGTGAGACAGTCCACAGGGTCAAGTATACCATTTGAATGATTTTCTAATAACACAAGTTACAACCACAGGTCACTATATTGCTGACGGTTTCAGCAAACTAGAACAAATGAAAGGCAGTTGAATCATTATTCACACACCCACACAAGAAGACAAAAAGAAAAACTCTAGGAGACTCAAGGAAATTGATCTCATCGGTCCACATCACCCATCAAACAGCCTCGTGTTCAATTGATGAATTGAAAGACCCACAGACAAGGAACTTCTGCGTAACTCAAGGAATCACATCCACGAAGTTGCTGAAGAATGAAGGAAGAAGTGAAGTCATCTTCAGTGATCATCTACTTGAGCCAACCGTGGTATTATCCATACAGCAAAAAGCTGGAAAATTTGAAGTCAGCCCTGCAGTTCTGGTAGATCATGTACCAGTAGATACTACAACGCCATGACCACGAAAATCAAGGCTAAAAGACACCAGAAACACCTCAAGGGATATAAGACTAATGAGCAAGAACAGCGTTGATAAACTCTTTACGCAGAAACGCCCAGCGCTGCCTGCAAAGCACTGTGTACCTCAAGGCCAATTTGAGCTTCTGCCCTTTCCAAATCATCCTTGGCATTAGCGACCTTCTGAGTGTACTCCTGGACTCCTTTCTTTACCTCCTCAGGGTCAAACTTGTCCAAGGATACTGCCTCAATTGCAACAATATCCGCGACAGAGTTAGCGTGCACGAACGCAAACCCACTGCTTACAAAGTACTGCTTGACATCAGAACCCTCGTGAACGGACATAAGTCCAGGCTTCAACTCCGCAATGGTAGGAACGTGGCCAGGCAAAACTCCCATCTGTCCTGATGTTGCTGGCACGATGACCATGTCCACCTGCGGTGATCATTTAATCCTCGTCAGGCACTTGACTACTGCTACATCAAATACGGCCCTAACAGGACGCGGGGCTTCGAGAACAACACTTCGAGAGAGGCTAATACAGAAAATGAAACTGCCATGAGAAACATTAACACTTAGTTGAGTTCCTTGGAAACTTGGAGAAGTAACATTTTCTCTCAAGACAGCCGTGCACAGAGCTGAAAGAGATATTAGAGCTCAATCTTCCGAAGATTATGGCTTCGAAAAGTATAATAGTATGCCAACGATGAAAAAGATAAAGCACAACTGTACTTTGAGTGGTGCCGCAAAACATTCAAAGTAATTCAGAGTACTCTGATATCGCGTGCTGGAAGCAACCTTACCTCCTTGGCCTGCATCTCAAACTGGTGGGGAAGAACGAAGTTCACCGTCAGCTTGGCGGGCAAGGTTGAGGGAACGGAAGGTCGAGCATTCATGTATTCACTTGGGAAATGTGGCAGGTCATAATTCGGAGCAATCTTTTTCCAGTCTTCCTTGAATTTTTCAGGAACTACCGCCTGTGCAGCAGGGGCTTCCGCTTCCGCCGCATAACTGCGTGCCAACAGGGGCCGACATGCAGCCCAAGTCCGCAGACCCGACCTCAATCCTTGCCTGACCAGCATTGTTTCTCTGTGCACGCATTATGACGAACACTACCATAAGTAACCTTCTCCGTTCTAAGCGTGCACATCTAACCATTCTATCAGCGTCGAAGCTTGAATGCAATTGACATGACCACATTAGCAGCACTGGGTTTGAGAGAGAGAGAGAGAGAGAGAGATGAAAATACCACTGCTCAAATTTAAGACGAAACGAATCTGAGAAAACCTCACAAGCCCTAGCATTTTCTCCAGAATCGAAACCCTAAATTACGACATTCGTTCAGAAAGAGAGCTCAGCCTCAACCAAAGCTGGATTCAGATGAGGAGAGCGACACCTGAGCTTTCACAGCCGCATGGCCAAGACGCTAATCAACAACAACCCTCGAGTAGAACTGCCTACACGCCGAAGATGAAGTAAACCACAACAGGTCGATATCAGGGGCGTGGCACGCAAAGAAAAAAAAAAAAAAAAAAAAAAAAAAACAGGAAAGTGTAACGTTACCTCCGAAAAGACGAAGAAGAGCGAGTACAAACGGGTGAGTTCAGGAGCAGGAGGGATGGGAGGGATCCGATCTGCAAGCCACAACAAAAGGTGCGAAGTGAAGAAGACTGGAAGGAAATCAGATGTCAAGAAACCCAGGCCGACGAGCGGGACGGAGGGTCATCGCCCCGGGTAATCGCTGGTCGACCCGACGATCCATCGGCTGGACGAGGTCGGGGGGGGGGGGGGGAGGGGTACTGAGAATGTGAATATTTCGGTGGGCACACGTCATTTACCTCTCAGAGTCAAGAATAAACGAATAAATATATAATGCCAAAAATAATCCAGAAATAAAAAAGCTAAAAACGTAAACCTAACTTAATCACCTCTATATATATATATATATATATATACTATGATTCTTAATATTTTAAATAAATATAGCATATTTTGACTTAAGTAAATAATGTTTGTACCACGGATAGTAATTACATGTATTAATAGCTAATTACATGTATAAATATTTAATAATAGTTTATACATGTAATTACTGGCTTAGTTTTGATCCATGTATGGAGAACATGATGCAATTTGTGTCGCAACCAATAAGATTCGTACTTTATGACAAAGCAATCAATCAGTAACGTTGTATGCTTCACAATTTTGACAACTTGCAACTAATATCAAGTGGGATGATACTGCACTTATTAGCCAATTTCTCTACGGACTACAATATGAGGTAAAAAAATTAATGCTCAACTTATTTGATCCTCAAACATTGAATCAAGCAATTGACTTTGTTATGAAGTGCAACAATCATCTTTTTAAATTTTGATCTGAGAACTGTACAAGTAGATCTCAATGTTACTATAATTCAATGGCAATACCAATATCTCTTTAACACATACATTCGGAAGTAGAGGATATGCAAATTGATGTGGTACATTTCAAACCTCTTACTGAGCAAGAAAAGACTCGTTGTCGTCATAAAGGATTGTGCTTATATTGTGGAGAACTTAAACATACTACTCAACATTGCCCAAAGAAGCAACGCAACCATAAAATGAGGAGTACAGCGATTAAAGAAGATAGCATGTTGAAAAACGAATTTGTCCAATTACAATAGGTACCGTGCAACTGGAACCTTGTACAATGCCTAGTGAAGGTCCTATCCTCTCCTCAGAACCCTCTTCATATTTTACGATAAATATTATTCTAGGACCTAAACATCACAAAGCCTCTACCTTGCTAGATTTAGGAGCCTCAATATATTTTTTAGATGAAAAATTTGCTAAAAGACATAACATATTTTTAATAAAAAAAACTAAACATGTTCATGTAGAAGTCATAGATGGTCGTCCGTTGTCTTCAAGAGATGTAATTCATGAAATCCTTCCTATGGAAATAGCAACTAATGGTCATAGTAACTTTGTAATATTTAATATGATTAGATCTCTTTCTAATCTAGTCATTTTATGTTTATCATGGCTAAAAAAAATATAAGCCTAAAATAGATTCGACTTCTCGTAGTCTTGACTTTTTTGAAAGTATAACTAAGAATGTAGTTAATCAAGTAAAAAGTCATAAGTCTAGTATAATTAAGCCTATATTTGTAAGTGTAAGAGCTTTCTTGTATGCCAAAAAAGAAGGATCACCTTGTGTCATTTATGCCACACTTGTTTTTACTTGTAGAAAGACTTCAAGTGACATTCCAAGCCAATATCAAGATTTTCAAGATGTATTTGAGAAGAAGAATGCAGATACTCTTCCAAAACATCGCTCCTATGACTGCTCAATTGACCTTCAAGAGGGAGCACAACTGCCGTTTGGACCAATCTACAATTTATCTCAAAATGAGTTGGTTGAACTCAAGGAGTATATTGAAGAGAATTTGGCCAAGAACTTCATATGCTATTCCAAATCTCCAACAGGAGCTCCAATTTTATTTGTAAAGATAAAAGATAGATTATTGCGGATGTGTGTCGATTGTCAAGAACTCAACAAAATCACCATGAAGAATAGGTATTCGGTACCTTTGATATATGGACTCTTTCATCAATTGAATCAAGTTAAGATCTATACAAAAATAGATCTATAAGAAGCATACAATTTGATACACATCAAAGAAAGAGATGAATGGAAGACTACATTTCGAATAAGATATGGACATTTCAAATACAACGTCATACCTTTTGAACTTACAAATGCACCACAAGCATTCCAATATCTAATGAATGATGTCTTTTGAGATTTTTTAGATGATTTTATTGTCTATTACCTAGAAACATTTTAATCTACTCCAAGAACACAAATGAATATGAACTTCATGTTCGTCGTATATTACAAAAATTAAGAGATGTGGGACTCTATGCCAAGATAGAAAAGTGTATATTCCACACTACTGAAGTCGACTTTTTAGGATATATCATAAAAAATGATAGATTTATGATGGATCCTAAGAAAATTTAAATTATTATGGATTGAAAGATCTCAAAAATGGTAAGAGATGTCTAGTGTTTCTTGGGATTTACCAACTACTATCGGATCTTCATTAAAGACTTTTCTCAAGTTGCAGCTCCACTTACATGTTTGACTTGTAAAGACAAACTTCAGTGGAATCAAGAAGCAAAAGTAGCATTTGAAGCTTTGAAGACAGCCTTTGTTTCTTCACCAATCTTATATAATGTCGATTTTTCTAAGCTATTTTTTTATGGAAACAGATGCATCAAAATTTGCTTTGGGTGTCATATTGTCATAAATGGGAACAAATGATAAACTTCATCCAATAGCTTTTCATTCCAAAAAAATTTTAGCAACCGAGATCAACTACGAGATCCATGACAAAGAACTTCTTGCAATCATGGATTCATTTCAAGAATGGCGCCATTATCTAGAAAGTGCTCATAGCCTAGTCACTGTATATACGGATCATAAGAACCTTGAATATTTTATGTTAGCACCTGTTTTGAATTGTCGCCAAGTCCGTTGGAGTATATCTTTGTCAAGATTTGATTTCAAGATTACTTATCGACTAGAAAAATAACAAGATTTGTCAAATGCACTCTCTAGAAGATCTTACCTTGTATTAAAGGAAAGAGATGCTGCTTTTGATGAGCAACGGATAATTCTCTTGAAGTTAAAGCATCTTTATCTTCCAACAATGAAATCAACACTAATTGTTGATTCAACTTTCATTAAGCAAGTTTAGTCATGTATATCTTCTAATCTTCTTATTCGTGATATTAAGGATAATCCTTCAAAGTCTCATGATACTTCCAAGTTTGAATTCAAGAAGAATCTATTATATTTTGAGGGACGCCTATATGTTCTAGAAGGTGAAGCTCAATTATTTTTTCCTCAAGCTCATCATGACTTTCCAACAACATGACATTTTGGGTACAACAAATCTTTGGAACTAGTATCTAAGGACTTTTGGTGGCCCCAAATGTGGAAAACAAACAAAGATTTTGTACAATCTTATGATGTTTGCTCGAGATCAAAAACTCCTTGTCATCGACCTTACAGACTTCTTCAGCCATTACCCATTCCAAAACAACCATGGTCTTCTATTTCTATGGACTTCATTACGGATCTTCCAATCTCAGGTTTTTATGACTCTATATTCATGATATGAGATTATTTTACCAAGATGGTACATTTTATATCATATACAAAATCTATAACAAGTGAAGAAACAACTAAGTTCTTTCTTGACAATATCTATCACTATCATGGATTATCCAAGGATAGTATATGAGATAGAGGAATTCAATTTGTATCAAGATTTTGGCGGATTCTTTTCAAGATTCTAAAAGTGGATATAAAACTATCTTTGGTATTCCATCCTCAAATTGATGGATAAAGAGAGCATGTTAATCAAGTTTTGGAGCAGTATTTAAGATGTATTATTAACTACCAACAAGATGATTGGACAACTCTTTTGTCATTGGCACAGTTTGTTTACAATAATACGGTACATTCTTCTATAAAACAAATACTTTTTTTTACCAATTATGGTTATCATCCATGACTTGATACTTTTAACTTTTCAAAAGTTGATAATCTCACTTCGAAAGATTTGGCAATTCATTTGTCAGAGCTACATATAATGATGAAGGAACAATTAAAAGAAGTATAAGAACAACAAAAGGTCAATGCGGATGTCTATCAAAAGGAACAACCACCACTCTTCATGGGTGATAAGGTATGGTTACTTCGTCGCAATATCAAGACCACTCGTCCTTGTGACAAGTTGGACTATCAAAGATTTAGACCATTTTTTATTTCTATACAAATCAATCCAATTGCATATCGTTTATACCTATCGGAGTTAATGAAAATCCATCCAGTATTCCACGTGTCTCTTCTTTAATCATATAAGACAATGGACATATCAAGAAGAAGACAAGCTCCACCTCTTCTTATAGAAGTGGATAATAATGAAGAGTTTGAAGTGGAAGAAGTCTTAGATTCAAGGCAGTGCCAAAATAAATTAGAATATCTTATCCATTAGTGTGGATATGATATTAGTGAACGCACATGAGGGCCTGTAAAGAATCTTGCAAATGCAACAAAGGCGGTGGAAACTTTTCATCAATGACATCCATCAAAATCAAGATGAAAATCTTCTTCATAAAAGAAACAAGATCTTAGTAAGATAACATTCTACTTTCAATCCTTGTTTGTAGCTTCTTTATAGTTGTGACAGTGAGAAGATGGAGAACCAACAACCAGTGGATTTGACTTAAGAGCCTTCGTTTGCTGACTTACCGGACGAGACATTATGATTGTCACAACCTTCAAGACGATATAATTGACTTGAAGATCTTCAAGAATGACATGTTCTTTCTCGAATAGATGGCGAGATACAATGCGTTTGGTATCACGACCTTGGAAGGGACTCCCGATGTTTGGTGATTTTACTAGAGGTAGGAACAACTCTTGATGGTGTTTCAAATATTTTATTCGAAGGAAGTTATGAAGGCCTCAACAACGATCAAATAATTGGGTGGTCCTTTTGCCCTGGTATGGGACACTTCCAATGGTTGAAAGGCCTTATCAATCATCTTTGAAGAGAATAAAGATCAGAGTATGTGGCGAATACAATTCGTCGCATCATAGATTTCCTTAACATATGATGGCCGCTCCTCATAGAACTTGTCCCTAGAAGGGAGGATAATATCATGGACATATGCATGTAAGCCAATAATTATATGTATAAATAAGTAGAAATAAGTAAAAGTAGATAAAAGTAAGTTAATTCTATAGTAGTTGCTATAGAAGCTTCCAAGAAGCTTTATAGACACTGCTTTGACTTTATAGGTGTCTTGAATTGACCTTTTGGATTAGAAACATGGTCAACAAGTTGGCCATGTGCCACACATGTTGTTAGCTTGAAGACAAAGCTAACCATATGGCCCACACATAGAAAAACTTGCCTTGTAAGTCAAGGCATGTGTCCAACAAAATCAACACATTTTGGAGGTCTTGTAGAACGTCGCCACGTTGTCGTACTGTAAAAGCTTATAATATATAAAATTTAGTTAGAACATATAATATGTTCATTAGTCTTGGTGTATGTTCAAATGGTTAAATAGATTAATTTAAAGAGAGTGGATTTAAGAAACTTTATTTTAAATTTATCTTTTTAGTTATATCATTTCAAAAAAAATATTATAGAACCTAAATATTTAGTATAGAGCCTTGAAAAGAGATTAAAATCTAAAGAAGAAATTCATAAATAATAAGAGGCTTATTGGAAGGGATGAAAGTAAGGAATGGTTGGATGAAGGAAAGAAATGAAAATCTTCATTCCTATTAGTCAAAGGCCATACCCAATGGACTTCAAGGAAGCTACTGGAGGCCTTATTAGGGATTAGGGTTTTTCTTTCAAAGTCATCCGAGCTTTGGAGGCTAAGGTCAGCAAGTTCAATATTTTGAGTATAATTTGGGTAATGAGTTTGTGTGATTTCGAGTTTTTATGAAGGAGACACATGTGTTCAAAGTTAAGTTATCAAATTTATATCTACTATCACTCTTTGAAGCATAACATATGCATACGGAGAGCAATGAAAGATCGGTGACTAGAATTAGAGAGAACACTTTCTTAACTATATTTTACATATATTGTTTGATAAATTCAAAGTCTAGATAAAAGAGTTATAGGGCATTGAAGACAATACATGTAATTCAAAGGCAGTAAGTGAGTCATTTTGTTGATAGTAATGGTTGGAGCCATATCTTGAGTTTTTGGATGAATTTTTGGCTCAAAATTTTTATAAGTGTGAGTTATTAGGTTAAGAAGCTATAGATCAAAGTTTCATGGTATTTTAATATTTATTTTTTGAGACATGAAGAAAATAGCACATGGGTGTATATAAGCTAAGGTTTAAAGCTATTGTTAGGATTTTGGTGATATTTCAAGATCTGTAATGAATTTGCAGTTGAATTTTTTGTAGAAGTTTTTGAAATTATATCAGTACTTTTAAAAAATTTAGGATTGTTTGGATGGTGTGATCGTGACATATGACCTGTTGGAGTTTGAGAAACATTTTTCATAAGGATATATAAGGTTTTAAGATACGTTATCATACATTTGGGTGTTTTTTTGGTACTTGCGCTTATGTTTTGATGTAATTGTCCAAAAAGAAAAAATATTATATATATAAAATTGGTACTTTTATATCTTAGACTTAATTGAGCATTTAATGGCAGCCAGAAGCCCAGTACTTTCTTGAGGCAAACTCTCTCTACCCCAACAACGTAGCCCTTAGTTAGATAGTATATATAGAGACAAGAGTGAAGCCTTCTTCACTCTTATCAACTCCTTTCTTGCTTCCAGTCTAGTTTCAAGGGTCTCTAGTTTTCTTGGCTTTTGATAATAGCCATTCCAGTTTCTTTCTTAATATACATATCAAGTTATTTCTATTTTGTCATGTTTCTTTGAGAGAAGTCTTACTTGTTTATTTTTTTTTATCATGTTCTTGTCCTTGACACTTTGTGTTCAGGTAATATCTATTATGATATTTAGAATTAATTGTAAAAAGAGTTTAAATTGACACTCAAATCACTTTAGATTGTAGATGAGAATCATATCATTGTGCATTGCCCAATTAAAAAATCTATAATTGTTTAAAAAATAAAAAATACATGACTAAAAATGATTATATTTCTATCATATTCAAAATCTTTGGTTGAATGGGTGTTCGAGGAGATGCTTCACGTCGAATGTGAACACGACTTTTACTGATCCTCTGGGACAAGGGGAACACACGGTCTTCGGTCATCGAACTCAACGGGGAACTCTGGTGCCCGTGGCCATTGCTTCCCCCTTAGCCGCCCACATCAAGCGAAGAGGGCATCCAGCCTGCGCCGAAGGAAGGCGTCGCCAATGCCCCTCCCCCCACCGTCCTTCACTTAGGTCGAGGGTCCGGCGATCGTATTGAAGAGTTTATGTTTTTTCATTCTCGTGGAGTAGGTTTTAAGGAGTTTGCCTGCCGCAGAGTTGCTTTGCTCGTCGCTTCTTCTGGCGATTCCGCCTTCCACGGCCAGTGCATGCGCATAGGAGCTGGGGAAGTTAGCTTGTCCGGAGGGTTGCATAGCTTTCTTTTGAGTGTACCCAATGCATCCTCCTCTTACTTTGCACAAGCACCCAGCGTGTGCTGAGGTACATTTTAACATCTGACTTCTAGCTCTCTCTCGCGCTCTTTCTCTCTCGCGCGCGCGCGTGTGCTAGACTGTTATGTTTACGTTTGTAGTGTTTTTCTGCGACGGAATGTGTTATGTATTGTGATGCGATGTGACCGGGAGTTGAGGTTGGAGAGCATGTTTTAAGTACAGAAAGCCCCAGTTTCCATTCTTTCTTATTTTTTCCCTTTCTACTTCTTTAGTCTGCCTGCTTCTTCCAGGTCGCGATTCTCTTTGATCGTTCTTTAACGTTTTCTGGTTACCTCTGCAAGTAGCTGCAACATGTTCGTGTCTTTATTTTGATGTTATTGGAAGATTTGTCCTCTTTTCAGCCGTGGGTGCTGGATGACACTCTGTGGTGTGTCTGCTGACGAGTGGATGTTGGTCGGATATGACAGCTGATTGTGAATTTCAAGAAATGTCATGAGGACCACCCTTTCCTGAAGTTCTTTGGAGCGTGCAACGACCTGAAAATTCAATTGGACAAGTGCTTTCGAGAAGAGGTGTGATCCCACACCTTATGCTATTTGTGATCTTAGTTTGACAATATTGAAGAAGTCAGAATCGATTATTGAACAGAGCCTTGTAAGTTTCGATGAGTGAATGAGTATTTGGGAGCAATGGTGGATTTTGTACCGAGGATTTCAGATTTAATGGTCTGTATCCTGTCGTTGGGCCTATTTATCTGCAGAAGCAAATGAAACGGAAGGCGAATTTCGAGGCAAGCAAGCAGTTCAAGGAGAAGCTTAAAGCTAGCAAAGCCGCAAAGGTCGCCTCCGAGTCCACCACGCCTGCCTCTGCATAATCGTGGGGTCGAGTGCAGCTACTTGGTTATCAGATATCGTGTTATCAGAGTTGTCATACCACAACAAGATTGTTATAGATGGAGTCTGTGCCATCAGATGCAAATGATGTCACGAACTGGGAGAAACTGCCTGATATTCCCGAGACCGAAGCTGCAGTGCTGGAGACCCCTTCCGCAACTGGTTGGGAAGCACGGATTAATAATAGGAAACCTCGCATTATTCTGGCAGCTAGTGGGAGTGTAGCTGCAATCAAATTTGGCATCCTTGCAGACAGCTTATCAGATTGGGCCGAAGTAAGAGCAGTAGCAACGAAACCTTCTTTGCATTTCGTTGACAAGAAAGGCTTGCCAGCAACCGTGAAGTTGTATACAGACGAAGACGAGTGGTCTAGCTGGAGCCGTATTGGGGACAACGTGCTTCACATAGAGTTACGGAAGTGGGCTGATGCCATGCTCATTGCCCCTCTCTCTGCAAACACTCTTGCAAAGGTTGCAGGGGGCTTATGTGACAATCTCCTGACATGCATTGTGCGTGCTTGGGATTTCTCGAAGCCTATGTTCGTTGCTCCTGCAATGAACACATTCATGTGGACGAGTCCTTTTACTGTGCGTCACTTAACAGCACTCGAGGATCTGGGCGTAGTGGTTATTCCACCAATTTCTAAGAAGCTGGCATGTGGGGACACGGGGAACGGTGCCATGGCGGAACCTGCAACTATCGATGCCGCGATGAGATTGTCAGCTTTAATCACTGACCCCGTTCTCCAGTCCCTTCCTGCACCACCTCGCGGCATCTGAGTGTTTGTCAGGGTGTAGTTCTATTTCTTCTCTCGCAGATTCCCCACTACTCTCTTTTTTGCATATTTCATGCGTCAATTTCCATCAACTTTCAGGTTTTGGCACCAAAATTGTGAACCTTGACTTCGGTATCCATTGCAGTCGTGGTAAATTTCGATTTCAGTAGCCATATTGCACGTGTGAAACATGGGTCGAGGCTGAATGTCTCCTCGCAACTGTTTAACGAAAATGTTTGATAAGATGTTGACAACAAGTGTAGAATGCCTACAGATTTATCTTCGCTTTCGTATTTGAACTTCTGAGGACGTGTTCATGTTGCATCCTTTTTAGAATCTTGCAACGCTTCTGTGTTGTAATTGACCATAGGACCTCATTGAAAGTGGTGTTTAATGAGTAGTTCTTGTTGGCCATTGTGTTGCGCATTATCACTCAGTCTTTAAAAGGTTTAGGCATCTGGTATGTCCAGCTTTCCAGTTTTCATAGAGCTGATCTTGCGATTGGAAAGCACCTGTTTAATATTCTAAATTTTGAAGTCGGACTGTCGCACTCCGTGGAAACGGAGGTATTGTCAAATGCATCTTAGAAACGATTGGAGCTCACTGCTGTAATCCGAAGTATGGATCACTGCGTCCATATCTTGATCTTATGCATCTTGGGTAGATGTAATAGCTGGGTTTTTGGGTGATAAGCCAAGGATCTTCTGAAGACGACTTCGAACTTAAGCCCATAGTAGCGCATAGAGTGATCCTATGAGTTGAAACTGTCAAATTAATATCTATTCCTTTCCAAAAGGGACCACGCCAAAAAGAACTCATGTATGCCACTCTCACAGTAACATTTCGAGTTGCGACACAACTGGGCAGAAATAGAATGCTGTTGCACTATGATGCAGTGGGAGGGCAATTACGCTCAATGAATGGAATCCCTCATCGACCATTGCTGAAGTAGTAATTGACATTTGTGAATATGCATGTAGATAAACATTACCGTCAAGTTTTCATTCTTCAAGTGTCCAATCTGGGAGTAGATTCATGATGGTGTGAGATTTCCTTGGTACCTCAATTGTATTGTATGCAATTAAATTATAGTTGAATTATATTATTGTGAATGTTAAAGTATAGACATTGGTTTCTAAAAGTAAGAGTTTTGTACACCAATCAATATAGGTGATGAAGTGAGAGGCCACAACTTTTAAATCTTTTGATTAGTTGAAACTAAAAAAAAAAAATTAATTGATTGGCTTTATTTTTAAAGACCCTAAGAAGAAAAAATAAGGTAGTATACATATCTTTCCTACATGGCATGAATAGTGTTGTCTCATGGATGATTTATTAGGTCCATTTCAAGAGGTTGCTCTTAAAAATCATACAAAGTTGTGTCAAAAATTGCTAAAAATAAAACTAAAAATAAAAAATATCTTTTTATTTTTTTTAGTAATCAAAATTAAGATATAAATTGAGATGTTTAGACTTGTAATAGTAGAATGATTTCAACTATTTCATGGATTTTTCTATATTATATTATTTCTAAAAGTTAGAACTTTGAAAAAAAAAAAAAAAAAAAAAAATCTTTATCAAGTAGAAAACCTTGATAAGATTTTAAACTACGCCTTTTAAAGAGGGCTTCTACATAAATAGACTCTTCTAAGTGGTAAGATAACATAATTCTTCTTTTTACATAATTGTTTTTTAAAAAATAAATAAAAATTAAAGCAACAAAAGAAGGAATAATATACATATATATATATATATATATATAGGGAGTTGATAAAGTTACATTCTAATGCTATTAAAGCTACTTCCCATCTTGCCATGTCATGATTGAATTTGTCTATCCTTCTCTTTGTCTTCCATTTTTAGTCCTATGACTTTCTTCTCCTCACTTATTCGTTGTCTTCCATCCCACCTTCCCCTCCCCCCTCCCAATGGGAACATGCTTTTTGTAGAACTCCTTTTAAAGGGAGGTGGTAGATGTGGAGGTATTGTAAGGATTTTTTTAATTTTTTCTTCCTTTTTCCTTTAATACAATAATAAGTTCTTATTATTATTATTAGGATAAGTAATTCAGGTTTAGAGATTGAGTGGTGAAGGGGATTTCATAAAGGGCAAGCCATAAAACAAGGAATAATAAATGCTTCAACAGATTGCAGAAAGATATGGAATAAGGAAGGGGAATGGGAGACAAAGATTGGGATGGACAAAATCAATCATAAAATGGTAAGAAGAGATGTGGCTTTATCAACTTTTTACACATATTATTTTGATTATGTACATATAATTTAAAATGATAAATTTTATTAATCTAATTTAGATAAATTAAATTATTCAACTTTAAATAAAAAGTTATCAGTATTTTTTTAAAAAATTAATATTTGAATGATTGATTTATTGGCTCTAATTAATATTATCTAAAATAAATTTTAATATAATTAAAATTTAAGATAGGATCTTATTGTTTAAAAATTTAGAATCTTATAATTTAAGATTATTTAGTTAATAAAAACATATCATAACATAAATAAATAAATAACTAAATAAAATAACTTAATACTTGATTATTCTATGATGAAATCAGTTCTTTATAAAACATAAAAAAAAAATACCAAAGACTAAAAAACATATATTAACATATAATAATCTATCTATTACTTAATATTTAATAATTTAATAACCTAAGTTGTTTGATATTCATGTCTCCACTAATTTTGTTCTATAATGATAACTCAATATTTCTCTTATTTGTTATTTAAAATTAATCAAGTTATAGAAGTTTATTATAGCCAAACATCTAATATTCTTTGCTAAGTGTCCTTGATTCTTAGCAACATAGCTTAAGTTGCAAGCCTTTCAATACCATGTACATTTAGAAATGTGTAGACTTTGTAATATAAAGGAGCTTAATCATAGCATAGATGGCAAAAAACTTCTCTTTTTTTTTGTCCCATTAATTTCTCCAAAAAAAATTATAAAGTTTTAATAAGACATAAGTAGTGGATGAATTCCGAAAGGATATTTTTTTTAATATGAATGAATGCTATTAATATTGTAAAAGAAACGTTGCCTACAAGAAGTTCACCTATAGAAAAATTCATTTGTAGAGAAGTTCATTTGGTTTATTGGATAATTTTACCTTAAATGAAATTTATTTTTTTATATTAGTAATTTTATATCTTTTATTAGTTGATATTATTTTTCTCAACTAATCAATTTAAGTTATAGATGGATTATTATACTAGATTGGAGAGAAAAAAATTACTTATACAAATAAAAGTTGTAAATTAAAGAAGACTTGATAGACACCTTATAATTATAATATTCATATAATATATATATATATATATATATATATAGATTATGTTCTATTTGACTTGAATATTGACTATTTATTTCAAAATCTACTATTTATAGGATTTAATTTCATGAACTTCTTTTAAAAATAAATTTCAAATATTATCCTTCATTTACTACAATCAATTGTTCATTTTTAAAATAGCATCAAATAGCTTCTTTATAATATTATTAAATCCTTTAAATTCACATTAATATATATGTATGTATGTGTATATACATATATATGTATGTATATATATTTATACCTAAATTATAATATTAAGATTATAAAATAATAAGACTATATAAAATAATAACTTTTAAAAAATGATCAATTAGAATGCTCATATATTTTATCTTTACAATCTCTTTTTTTTTGTTATTATTATAAATTTTTGGATTATATACCAACTTGAACTACTCAATTTTTAAATTTTTATTTTGATATTTAATTCAAAATATTTCTTTTTTATGTATAATTTTTTTTCTTATCTCAATATTATTAATTTTAAGATCTTCTAGTTAGAGGCATAAAAATTATGGTTCCATTCAATATTATTCTATTAGATTATTTATGCTAATATGTTTTCTATACATTAAAGAAGTAGATAACATTATGATCTAAATGTATCAATTTTTCAAAGTCTTAATATAAAAGATTTTTATTTTTATTTTTTCTCTTCTATTTCAATATTTTTTAAGAAGCATCTTTTTTTAATAAAATATTTGGTTTCGATCTAATACTCATAATTTCTAATAAGTCTTTAAAAAAATAGATGATTCTATCAACTTTAGAATGTTATTTTATTTTATTTTTGTTTAAAATATTTTGGTGTTTTTTAAGTAAAGAAAATTTTTTCTTCTACTTCTTATTTTTCTTGTGCTTTCTTCTATGATGTGAGAATTTTTTTATTAATGTGTAAATTTTGATATAACAAATTCATAGATTCTTTGGACTTTTAAAAATAAAATCTTGGCTTAATACATGCATATACAATAATATATTAAAAATTAAGTAAAACATATTTTCATATTTAGTTATAGATATATAAATTCTATTTTATTTAAGATAAAATATAATTTTAAGATACTATTTGATTCTTTTCAAATCAAAGTAACTATCAAAGATATAAATCTAAATAAAATTTAAAATATACTACATTCACATATTATTAAATAAGAAATAAAGAAAATAAAGAAAAAAGAGATAAAGATAGAAAATAATTAAAATAGCTATTTCCAAAAGACTAGAAAGTCTTGAATAAAGACTACTATATAAAAAAAAAGTATTGACAAGATTGATGATGATATCATTCTTATGTCCATATATACTAGCTACTTAAAATGCTTTAAGAAAGCTTCTTTATCACCACAAAGTTTATGATTCAAGTATCAAATTGTAAGTTGCTTCTATTAGAACTTTTCAAAAAAGAAAAAAACTTATATATGGAATTTTAATAAATACATGAATTATTGACAAAAAACTAAATATCTCACTTTTCTTTGAAAAACTTCTTTAAATTTTTTTTAAAAAGATATCATCTATCTAATATGTTGCTATCTATTTCTGTTTATTTATATTTATCTAAATAATATAGAAATCTATTATATAACGACCATTTTTGAAGATAAGTTCTATAAACAACACTAAAGTTGCTTTATAGATTAATGAAGTTTAAGATTCATCAAAAAATATTAGTAATGAAATGTAATCTATATTCCATAGAAAGATAGTTAATGGCCTTTTAAACCATTAATTTTTTTATATGAAAGGAAAAAAAATACCATATAATTATTATTTTTTTTAATTCAAGGCTTCAAACTACGTTTAAAAAAAATATTTTAAATGCTATTAAATACAGCACCTACTTTTGATAGTATCATTAAACAAAAAGATTTTTTTTTAAGATTGTGGTATTAAACATATTATGTCTTATCATTTATTGAATGAAAAATATATCTTTATTGAGGATATTGATCTTGATTCTAATGTTGTGAAAAATAAGACTATCTAAGTCTTCCTTTGATAATTTACAAATGACAATTTTGAAGATAAAATTTCTAACTATTAATTTTTTATATTGCAAAAAAATTCCATAATTTGAACTTTTAGCTTATTTTTTCTAGATTTATATCATTTATTTTTAATATTTTATGTAAATTTTTGATAGATATCATCAATAAAATAAAATAAAAATATTTTTAACTTATTTTTAAGATTATCATATAACTTCTATGTTTGTTTATAAAGTTTATATATATGCCAATGTATAAGATATTCTAATTTATTTGGAATTACCTTGAATTTAAGACTTCTTTAACCTCCATGTTACCAAAGAGTCCATGTCACCAATCGTATAGACTTCTTTAACCTCTACCAAAAATTATAAATTAAATTGGATATATATATATATATATATATATATATATTTAGCAAAATTTTCATAAAATAGTATAATACAACCCTCTATTCAATAAGTATCATATTTTTCAAATGATGGTTAATATTAAAAAAAAAAAAAAAAACTATATTTTTGATGACATGAAATCTTCTTAAAAAAAGGTGTTAGAAGATTAAACAAATGTTTTTTTAAAAAAATCAAATTCGAGTCTAAAAAATATCTCTTAAAAAAAACATTAAGTTTTTTATATCCAAAAACTTCTACTAGTGGGACGTCATGATGTGCTTGAATTTTATGTATTCAATTTCAATCTTATAAAATATATAAATATTATTTATAAGATAATTTTTACAAAAAATAAATTTTAGAAAATTCACTATCAAGATTCTTTTTATGTAAAATATAAGAAAGTATGATAACATAATCAAACAAACTTTATTAAAAATAATAGTACCAAATATAGCTATTGATCTAATATTTTAAAGATGCAAGAAATATGATTTTAAATATATAATGTGTTTTTGAAAATATGTAGTATTTTCTTCTATTGATTTTAGTTAATAATTTTTAGACATTAAATTTCATAAGTCTTCTTGTTTTTTAGAAAAATATATAATATTAAATACAAATTATAAAAAAATATGCTCTAATAGACTTTTTAATAATTTAAAATAAATTTTCGTATGAAATACCCAAGATTTTAGTAATAGTTATAAGTTTTAATTAGATTAGGAGTTTTTTCTAAAAAATAATGATATCTTTAATATGCATTCATAATAATAAGAAATTCTTTGTTATAGATCTTATACTTAATCTCAAATGTTGAAAATTATTTGAATGAAAGACAATAAGATGAAGTCTATTATTTGCATCTATTTATGATAAAATTGTACCTAATGAAAAATTTAATATATAAACTTTTATAAAAAAATGGCTTAAAAAACTATAAATAATATAAAATAAAAATTAAAGTGAAAGTTGATTTTTAATCTGAGAATGCTAATTTTAAGTCTTGAATTCACTCTAATTTATATTTATAATTTTATTGTATCAATGGAATAAAAATTATAATAAATTACTAATAATTATATTAAAAATATTTTAAGTATTTTAAAAAATATTAGACATCATGTCCGATTTTTTAATTTTTCTAATTTATAATAGTTTATATCTTATGCTGCTCTATCACTATCAGACGATTAAGACGCTGTGCAACTTCGAACACATGCACAATCGCCATGTATTGCCTCACCGACACCAAACACCGCGGCAACTGATCAAAAACACAGTTTTACATGGATAATATTAACTCGAGCCTACAATCCAGAGTGGCAACAACAAAAGAATTACAACCAACTACTCTGCATTAAATTGAGTAGTCAGGAGCATCCTCTAGTCGACCATTGACAAGTAACTTCTCACCATATCATACTGAATTTGATGTATTGGACAAATGGCCTACTCCAAACGCCATCAACGATTTATCCTTTCACGTTGATGAATCAACAAGGCCCTCTGAGCACCGCGGTTCCAGCAGCCACAGTGCAGACTCTGCATTACAGACCAAGCGCACCTCGAAGCGACCCACATGGCTTCAAGACTACTTTTGCAAGCTCCTGGACCTCCCGATCAAACCCACATCTTTTCAGGAAGCAGCTCAGGATACAGGTTGGCACGACTCCATGAGAAAAGAAATCAAATCAATTAATGACAACAAAACTTGGTCCTTCACTCCATTACCTCCAGGACACCATGAAATCTCCATCAAATGGGTATACAAAGTCAAGATCAAGGCAAATGGCACTTCCCAGAAGAAAAAATCAAGACTGATAGTTCAAGGTTTTGAACAAAAAGAAGGCTTGGATTATGAGGAAACTTTTGCTCCAGTAGTTAAGTGGGGAACCATACGCATGTTGCTAGCACTCTCAGCACAACATAAATGGCAACTCTAGCACATAGACATGAAGACTGTTTTTCTTCATGGAGACCTCAAGGTTTTGTAAATCCTAGACAAGAGCATTTAGTATGTCATCTACACAAGGCTTTCTATAGATTATCCCAAGCACCTAAAGTCTGATATGACAAGATTGACTCATTTCTACATAGCCAAGGATTCACAAAAGGAGGAGATTACAATCTTTATGTCATTGATCATGAGAAAAAAAATCTCATATGTGGATGATCTTTTCTTCATAGGAAACTGCATCAAATGGATAAGCTGGTTCAAACAACAACTTGAATCAAAGTTTGAAATGTCTAAGTTAAAAGAAAGTGATCTTACACTCTATCTTAAGGCTGAAATCATCACAGTTCCACTATGATAATTTCAGTCTTATGACATAAAGAAGCTATGCTCTCCAAGTAATTCCACATTTTGGTGTTAAAGGTCGTCAATCAGTCTCCACTCCCATGGTAGAATGCCTCAAACTTAGCCTTGACATGCATGAAGACATAGTGGATCCTATTCACTATAGATCCATAGTAGGAAAACTCATACAACTTGCCCACTCTCAACTAGATCCATCATACTCCATTGGCATTGTTAGCCACTTCACGATGAAGTTTCAAACTTCACACCTTTTACCTACAAACGAATATTAAGATATATTGCACTCACTCTAAATTATGGCATCCTCTATCCTACTCATTTAACTTCAAAAAATTTAGGATATGTTGAAAGGGATTGGGTAGGAGGGAGGTCAACCACTGGCTTTGTGTTCATGCTAGGAGCAAACTCTGACACATGTCTTTTAAAAAAAAAACAACTTACAATAACTCTATCCTCCTCTCAAGCTGAATACATGGGTTTGTCATCAACAACTAGAGAATCAACTTGGTTGCACAAACTCATAAAAGATTTTGGCCTCAAAATTCCAAAACCTGTGCACATCTACTCTAATAGCAAGGAAAGTATCAATTCAAGGACAAAGCATATTGCAACTCATCATCATTTTACTAGAGAAAGAATTGAAATGGGGAAGTAAGATTAATTTATGTGCCCTCACTAGACCAAGTTGCAGACATTTTTACCAAGCCTCTAGGGTGAGGACTGTTCAAAAAAATCAGAACTAATCTAAATATCATGTCCATCAAAGTCGATCAAAGATGCCCAATCTTAGTTGTTAATTCAGCTAGCTGAAATTCACCTAGTTCTGCCTTCTCATCTCATACAGGTAAGCCTCTATCAATAATTTCCACTCTGTAGTTTCACTAGTATCAACCTCCTGCTGTCTATTCCCTATTCCAGGAAACATTTCAGTCTCCTTTAGCCATTTACCCCAATCTATCAACAACAATCTCAAGGCTTGCAAGACACAAAAAAGATCATCACCAACATTAGGATTAAGTAGAAGATTTGGAACAATCACCTCATGAAGAATGTCCATCAAAATACCACAAAACCAAGTCGCCGAAATTTGAAGCTCCTCGACCATCTCCTGGATGATAGCTCTCTCCGGCACAAAACTCTTCACGACTTCTTGAATCTCAATCTTGACATTGGAATTGCCATAGATCTCCAGTCACCCTGCACAGGATCAACGGCCACTGATACAAGAGTACAAGGGGACTGAATGATCTCACAATTCAGTTGCTCCGATGAAGGAAGATCCTTTGATAGCTGCAAGTTCCGAAATGGATAAGTTCTGCCACAACTGAATTTATGGTGATTATGTTCTTGTACAAGAGTAACTGAAGTAGAATTGTCCCCAGGGACATTCACTCTCAGAATTGCAACATCATCCTCGGAAGACATAAAGGAAACATCAAAATTCTGAAATTCCCCGACACAAAATGATTCTTGAGAACAAGAATCCGAATTCTCCTCGATTCCATCGCCAAGGCCAACATCTCCTCGTTTCTCCTCCTCAAACGTATCATCTCCACAAGGTGCAGAAAACTGACCTAGGGTCACCGAAAACAAAACAAATAGGACTAGCCAGAAAATTATGTTGGAGGAGGTATAATTGAAGCATTGCGGGAAAACGCTCATAAACACAAATGGGAACAAACTATGGTGAACTCCATGACCTCCATCTATCCAAAACCCTGTGGATCTTCCTTTTCTCTTCACTTTCACTCCTCTGGAAACAATCAAACATGCCAGTATAAAATTAGGGGTTGCAATAGATTCCATCGTCACAATTCAGCAGATGACTTTGTAGCAAGGAGGGATGTTAGAATATTCATCCTCCTCGCATCTGCCTATGACGAATGTCGTAGAATAAACCTAGATCCGGAAATCACATTGGATCACTCGGTGCTTAGGTCGACAGGTTAGGCATTTATACCTGTGACTGCTACAGTCGCAGGTGTGCAAGTGTGCACCATTTTCTTTATTTCTAATTGATGTTTTTTATACATTATCATTGTCATTTCCTCAAAACTTTCCTGCACGAAAGTTGCAGCTACATTTAGAGTGACATCTACTAAAGAAACTAAATCGCAAAGTCACTCAAGTTTTGAAGTTTACCAAACAAACAACAAATGAACTCCCTGTCGCCGTGTTATTAAGAAGATTTTATGAAACTTCAAGCATGTGTATGCAGATTGGTATAATCAGCATCATCTCAGTGATTTTGAGAACAGTACGATGTTGAGCTACCTCACCAACCGTGATGTTAAGACAGCAGCCCTTGTTGAACCTCTTTTTTGATCCATAGCCAACATCACAATTCGGCGTTTCATGTGATTCCGACACGGCCGACTATGGCTAGTTCGGAGAGGCAACCTGAGACCGGCAGTTGGACACAGCAGAACCCGTACACAGCAAGTTCCATATGTGGTCCACAGATCATCTTGTAGGATTCCTGCAAGCTACCAAAGACGAAAAGAGCATTATCTTGTCAACGGGTTATTAGGAAAGGATTCTCTTCAGGACAAGAGGCAGGTACCATGTTGGAAGTGGGTCCTGCTAACCATTACACAGTTGGCACATTTTACAATGCAAGGGGATGATCAACAGTGGTGACTCATTTTCGAAGTGCAGAACTGTACGCTGGAAGAATCGAAAAAAGTTCACACACACAAAATAAGTGTTTGCTCCTCTGTTGTGAAGAAAGCGGCCATAACTTCTCGTGTTTCGAGCAGTTCTTGACGAGCTGGGCACCATTCGCTATCAGCGGCAGCCCATCTCTTTCAAAGATGGGTGATCTGTAGGTGCTTAGATACAATCGCTGTAAAGTCAAAGATTTGCAGTCTCGACTACTCAACTAGAGCGATTGCATTGGAGACCAGGTCTCAATTTCAGTTTTACATGTCGCCTACGAACAGCTGATAAGAGCATCATGCCACATCGTTGGGTGCAGGACCATATTTGGTACAGGCGTAAATTGGGACCTCAAAGATGGCCGTGTTATTCATATCTTCTTTTTAAGGTGGAATATGTAGTCTTACATACATTAAGCATCACAGATGGCTAGTCTCTGAATAGCTACTCTTCTCAGCCATCCGGATGTGGTAGATTTTCTTGTACTGACACAAATGATGAGTACCCTCGGCGATGGGCAGATCATCAATCTTGAAATCACGACTATGAAATACAACTGGAATTTCTAGCTAAATATGTGCCGATAAAGCCAGCTCGTGACAACAAACCGAAGCATTGGACTCTATTCCCAGGTAGCCTTCCCCTAAAAATTTGACTCTGAGTTCTGCGAACGAGCATCCACTAAACGTCACACTGCAAAAGAGTGAGGACTCTCCGAGCTGGTTTACTTCGCTTAAAAGATGGAAGAAACCAGATGGAAATTTTTAAATGTGTGCTATTCTAGTCTAAGAACTAAAAACGATTCGTTTTTGTTTAAGTTTTTGATTAGGAAATAATCAAAGAATACAACTACAGGATGAGAGGAACATAAGTCGGCCATGCTATCTAGCGAGGATGAGGGGGTCGTTCCAGGAATTGAATGACGCACGCGGGGACTTGTTGGCGAGATCGAGGTGGTCAATCTGAACACCCAACGATTTCAGAGCGCCGCGCAACTGTTGCACTCGCAAAGGGTAGTTTATGATTGCGTCCAGTCCCGCAGAAATGTCGTCCTTCTGGTTCGAGCTTTGCCATCTGGGACAACCACTCAGAATGATCAATTTAAAATAGCCCCAGTACAGTGGATTACAAAGCAAACAGATCCGTATAGCTGTGGCACGGTAACATGCGCAGAATAGCAATGTAGGATCGATTCACAGGACTTGTGAAAGAACAAATGACTACCTGTCGAGATCTGTGACTGCCACCAGAACAACTCGGGTCGTGATGTTTGCGCTGCAGCAACTAGATTCCATGCTCCGAAGCTTCCGGATCAGAGCATAACTGTCGGCCCGAGCACCGTCAAGGTTGACGAACACAATCGAGAAGCCCTCGGGATCTTGCATGCTCTGCTCGAAGATGTACAAGCCCTCATCCCCGTTCACTGCGCACGAGACTTCGAAGCCGCAGCGCTCAAGCATGAGACTGAGTGACTTGCGGCCCCGGACGTTAGAGTCCACAACCATTGCTCTTGCTTGGGTCAAGCTGCTGCGTCCCAAGCTGTTGCCTGCGCCACGTAAGGTCTCGGAGCTCTGCTCGCTTTTGCACCAATCTTGAGAGCAGATTGAAGAGCCTTCAGCCTCATAGACGGTATTCGCTGGGTCACCGTACATGTAAATGGTGTCCCTCACCTCACCGTAGTATGGAGAGAGCGGTTGCTCCAGCGCAGCCAAGAAAAGATCCTCGCTACCCCGAGGACTTTCGCAGTTGTTCTGCGGCTCCTCCTCTAAGTCCAGAATGCTGAGATTACACATCGCGTCCACTGTGCAGTCCAATTTCATGGCTGGTTGTTCGATGCTTTGTGGACTCAGCGGCATGATTACGCAAATAACTCCCATACCGTCTTCGCGCGCATTTGCAAAGAGGACTGCGTTGAGATTCTTGCCCCACTTGGTCTTTAGATTCCAAACCTCCTGAACGGTGTCCTGGCCCTCAAGAGCAGCCCTCAGAATATCTTCGCAATCCCTGCCGAGCGGAAGACTCCAGAAAGGTTAGAAATTTGAATGATGAAACTGGACTATTTAGCAATGATTCAAATGCAAGGGCCCGAACACAGTTATTGCGTGCTACAGGTCAATGATGTCAAAAGATTGAAAGAGTAGGAAGCAGGAGGAGCGAAAAGGTCTGGGCACACTGCACTTACTTATCAGAAGCCGACGGGTTGCTGAACAAGGAGGCCGTAAACTTGGGCATAGCAAATACTTCGGTTTCACTCCAGCCGGTGGCGTCAGTTGCACGTCTGTGGCATCACAATAAACACGACCCTCCTTAGAATGTTGCCGATGTGCAAGGACGAGAAGCCACTCAGCAGGAAGCGAAACGCAGAGATCCTCAAATTCAACACTATCTAGGAGTAGCGGACGTTTAAAACAAATGAGGCAAACTCGTCGATAAATAAGCTTGAGCAATATTCGGATCCTCGGTGACCATCACTTCAGTTTGCTGTATCCAGGACGAGTCATGATCTAGGCATGATGTGACGCGCTCAAGCAGGACTCAGGTCCCTCTCAAACCACAAAAACGGACGCACTATAACAAGACTACTCACCTATTCCAGACGGTACAGCGCATGTTCATGTCAACACCGAACATGGGCACAGGAAGCTCGTCAGCGTGCAGAAGGCCTTCATTGTGTTCCGAAGCACGCTTGTCATTCACGGCACGCGGTGAACCTGTGAGCTCAGCAACAAAGTCGAGTGCAGCACGTTTGTGATTCTCCACCCCTCCTACCATACCAACCTTTTTGTGCACTTCCAGAAACATTCTCAACTTCAACACACACCCCCACAACACCCAACACAGCACACAAACCTCCTCCTCCCGCGCACACACACACGCACCCTCACTACTTCTCCTCAACTAACCGGCTCCAACTACATCCACTACCCCCACAGCGCACCACCCCAAATCACCAATTCGTCGATCAGACTGAATCCAAATACGTTCTAACGCTGGCGACAACGCAACGCGGCCAACTTGCGCCAGGGCATGTATGCGTGCGAGGCAAGCCACGTCCGAGGCTCCGAAAATCGCCCCCAATATACTCGATTGAACAAGTCCCCTTGAGGACGAGAGTTGCAAGCCCAAACGCTGAGAAAGGGGGAGGCGTAAGTGTCATTCGGGGAATACACGAGCAGTATCTAAGTAATCTCGCGAGCGATACGCTGCTTCCTCCTCCTTCTCCTCCGCCAGCGCTAGTTAGTCCGGTCGATACCACAGTAGTAGAAGTAGTAGTGTCCACTTGGTAGGTAGATGGGCAGGTGGAGCCTGCACCTGGTCCTACCACCCTGCCAAGTAAACAACAAGCTCAGTTGCATCATCACAAATCCCCCACCCCAATTTTTATTATAAATCGACCTGTGTCGTGTGTAGCGCTTTGCTTTGCTTTGATTTGTTTGGTAGGGGAGTAGTTTGTAACGAAGCCAGTCAGTCAGTCAGTCCCATTCTGCCGACGCTTGTGTGTTGCTGCTGTTGTGTGTCACACACGGGCAGCAGAGGGAACCCCCCATATTGGATGAATGTACATTCTTTTCACGTTCATCCACTATACTGTTCTGCCCTAGTTCTGTCCCTCAACGAACTGTGCTCTATTAGCTGATTTTTGGAACATAAAGTGGAGTTTTTGGCATTTTGGTAGTTGATTGATTTTAGTCATTTTATCCATTTTTTTCATTCATTCCCAAATCGAAATGGCGAGATAATATTCAAACTGGTAATAATAATAATAATAATAGTCCCAATCAAGTACGACTTGATATTTTGCTTCAGCCAAAATAAAATAAAAAATCTACCCTGAGAAACTTCATTTCTGTTCAATACAACTTTATTTCCATGCAAATGTATGTGTGAAGCCTACATTGCTATGTTTGTCGACTGTCAAAAAATTGATCCTTGCCCAGCACACCATATCAAAATTCTTTGATTCTAGCTGAAATTTGTGATGCATAAGGCAATGCTATAGAAAGAATATAAACCAATTAATTGGAGAAAATAATTACTGAGTGCATTTTTGTAAAAATTTCTTCTAAATATGTTATTCATGTGAGTCGTTAGATAAGTACTTTATAATATTACTTAGAAATGTATTATCATTCGGTGTTGTATTTTATCTTGTGTGAAAAATTTAAAGGTGACTTTCTTCTCAGCACTAAGGGTTTTTCTCTAGTATTATAAATTTTAAAAAAAATCACAAGCAAAAATAAGTTGTTTTATAAAATTTTACAATCCAAAAAATCTAATTTTAGCCAGCAGCCACCGCCAGAGTCTTAACTGCATCGAAAGACAAGCGGCCAAGGAAGGACACGGGCACTGTCCTGAATGTGATTGGATGGATTACATCCATCCAATCTGGTACTAGATTACGGAGTGGTCGTGCTCTGACCGTGAACGACACCCAGGAGGGCGAAAGATTTGCCCTCCTGCGCAGGGATGGGTCCCCCAAGTTACTACTGCGAATTTTTGCCGCGACCTGCTCTGAAATAGCTCGGAAGGGTGAATTCCACATAATGTGAAGGAAGCCTCGATGAAATAATAATAATAATAATAATAATAATAAATAAAAAAACTCCAGTTGGACAAGTAGAGGTCAGTGATTGAAATCCAGCGGCTGTTTTTTAAGCTTCCTTTTTTTGTCTCTTTAGGCCAGGAACAGTTGATTCCCTTCTCCATTCATGAATCAAGACATGAATTCAAGTCAAGGTTCATCCAACCGTTTGTTGTTTGTGCATTTAAACAAATCGATTATATGTCCTCACGTAAAATTTTAGCACTTGCCAAAAAATACCCATGTCTGTAAAAACATCTATGTAATATTGTAAAACTGTTTTCGTAAATCATTAAACTTGACAAGGATTAGTTTTAGATATGCAAAGTTTTACGGCGTGGTGTAAAAGTTAGATGCATTCGCAAGTAAAGTAGACTGGAATGTGAAATTGAAAGTTGCGCTCCACCGAAGCTGGGGTCTAGTTCGCAACACCTTGACGAGCACTGAAAGACAGACAAGTCTTAAAAAGGAGGGGCAGCATGGAGGAAAGAAACAAAGCCGACGAACTCACAGTTGCGGGCGGAAGTCGAAGTCGCTGCATCGTCGCAAGATCTACGGCGATGACCCAATTTTGAAAAACACGAAAATAAGAATGAAATGTCTTTGATGACGATAATGATTGCAGCGAGGTTGAATTCACGGAGCGCGGCTCACTCAAGCGACTCGCATTTCGAGGCAGTATTTAATCATGAGAAAGGCACCGTGGATCGGGAGCAGCAGCAGGCCCACATGGGTGGTGAATGATCAGGGCGTGGGCCAATTGCTCCTCCTCCAATGCAGCCCCATGCATCCAGCATTCGCAGCATGGGCCTTGCTGCTCCTCGCGGGGCTTGAATCCATCACCTTCTAACTGACAATGCACCATCACCGCTGTTGTGCCACCTCGCCAGGGCTCGACAGCGCCGTGCTGCAACACCACTCCCTCGCCCTCCTGCCTCCTCTTGCCTCCATGAAGCCATGCCCTTTGAATGCCTCGGTCCTATTCCTCGTCCGTTTTCGTCATCGCGCGTCGCGTGCGGCTACCGTGCCGTTTTGGTTTTGTGGTGCTCCGGCGCTACGACCACAAACCCGTGGAGACGCTACTTCCAGGCAGCAGCCAGCGTCCGCCGCGCGTCGGCGGTGGCGGCTAGACCCGCGGCATTTATATAATGACCACTTTGTATTTGGAAGAACCCTTCCAAGCTTTTACTTTTTCAAAAAAAAAAACTTGATGTGGGACTTGTATTGAATGTAAAGTATGAAACTAGCATTGATACCTTGCTCATTTATTTACCAAATTGAACCTGGAATTTAGGTCTATTGTCAGGGATAAGGCCACGTGTCGACATTAACTGCCATGCTCTTCAGATTGCATTTAAGAAGATTGCTCTACTTTTTGTCTGTTTCAAATGATGTAAGTTTTTTCTTTTAGAATTTTGATTTACTTTTCCTTTTTATATTTATCTTCATTTGGGAAAAAAATGGCCCGCGGCAGTAGACCTGTGTGAAGTAAAAATATAGTGATTAAATATTTGGTGATTTTTTTATTTTGAAAATATTATTAAGAAAATGTAAATATTGTTACACTCACAGATTCCATATTTTTTTAAATGAATATATATATATATATATATATATACATATGTGTGTGTGTGTGATCTTTTCCATTCAGATTTCAGAAAGAGACAACTGAACACTTATGAATGGTAATAAATGAAATAAAGATTACACTGATACTTAAATTAATTTGTGTGAAAATTAGCATGATTCATCTAGTAATGGTTTAAACATATTTTTTATTTTTTTTTAATTACCATTACGTGCATATATCTTTATATGCATATATATATATATATATATATATATACACAAACACACACATATAACACACAAACAGGGACTTTAAATTTTAAATTGTACAAATGAATTTACCACCGAGAAATTATGATAATAAAATTTTAGCAGTACACATTGTTCATTCACATTAAAGCACATATTATAACTATATGTAGACACTATAGTTGTAGATATTGTACCTTGTTGTATAACATAGAATTTTAAGGATGTCATATTATACACATTACATAAATTAATGTGTAATTATGATGGTATGTTTAAATTTATAGATAATATATATTATAAGTAGGAATTTAAACAATTACTATCCTTAAATACTTGTTATTTATAGAAACAATTGCCAAATGGATAAAAGTATGGATATATAACTACACATGGAAATAGATCCATGGTCCTTTAGATAGATGAAGGAATACATTTGACTCACACCTCCACCTTCATATATATATATATATAGATGTCTTATATAAAATAGCTCAAGGGATAAACCAAAGGATACAGAAACCACTTGTGTTTGTTTACAATGTTTCTTTTTGGCCAATGCCACAAGTTTCTACTAGTGTGTATATATATATATATATATATATATATATATATAAATTAACCAACTTAATATTTTAGAATACAAAGATTGTTGTATGCCACATACTCCATACATAAAATTAAGGTTGTTGTAATAGAATAAATCAAATTTTAAAACATAAATGGTTTATAAGAAATATTTTAAAATACATGGGTTTTTGAGTTTTAATTTTATTGTAGGAAAAAGTGAATATTTGTAGAAATATTGCTCAAAAAATCTCCTTGTTTAAAATTAAATCAAATTCTTCTCATGCTGAATAAATATATATATATATATATATACACACACACACATACAGCCTCATATATTCAGCCTTATATATATATATATATATATATATTTGTATTTATACAGTTTGAAATTGGGTCAAAAAGAAAACTCAATTGCATATCACCTTGCCAATTGCGATTCGAGACATCTCGCGGTTCAAAATGTAGCATTTCTGCAGATACAAAGATCTATATGTTCCCAGGTGCCAGATATTTGTTCCCTTAGCAAGTCCCCTCATTGGGCACACGTTCCTCACGTCCAACGGGCTGGGCATGCCCCTCCCGATATTTTGCAACCCTCCAACCCATCCCTTCTTCGCATCTCGATCAGGACTTGGACGTCATCCAATGGGTTCCACGTGGACTCCTCCGCATGGCATTAACTAATTTTATTACAATTTATTATTAACATGCATGTCCACGTGGAAGACTACGTGGTGATGCACTACTTCTGTTCACACCACATTCAATCTTATGTCAATTTGGAGTGTTCAGTTGGCTTCTTGGGCTTATTTCACAAACATGTTCAGTTATTAAGTAGAATGGGTATTTGAATATGCAAATTATGATAATACCTTCACCATTTGTACTTAAATTGCTAGCTTTCAGACCATTCTAGAATTCTACTATTGTGTGATAAAACTACTTAAACTACACTTTCATGTATTATTAGACCACATTGTAGTATTCTAAAGTTCTAATTAGTTACCTTTTGTAGTCTATGGCCAATATAATGTTTGGCTATCCAAGTTTTGTCTCATTTGATGAAGAGACTTGTCTCATGTTCATGATGTTTATTCAAGTTTCCTCTTCAAGTCTACCCAACTAATTTGTTTGCATTCTATTAAATCTTCCCTATCATACCTCTAGTATGGATGTTACTCCACACCTCTTATTCAAAGGTAAGTTTATTTATTTATTTACTTTGAATTGAGATAGTCCACAAGCAAAGTCCTCTTAACAATGACCATATCT